GGGGACTGGTGGCAGTGGGGGCGCCTGGTTCGGTGTGGGCTGTCGGGACTGTGGAGAATCGTATGTCGGACAGTCAGAGTAGAGAGCACCGTTGATGATGGTGGGGTCGTAGCTGGTATAGAGGAGGGGGTTATGTGTGTTGGCTGTTGGGGCTGCGGTTGAGATGTTGGTCACCTGGCCGTTGGTGTAAATCACATTGCCCATGTCTTCCATGGGGCCAACAAAAGAGGCGAGAAAGGAGGTAGCTGCGGTAGAAGAAGCCAACCCAGGATCTATCATCTGATATGCGGGGGCTTTTCTCGGAGCATTGGGCATCGGGATTTGGTGATATGATTGCGTGCTGGAAATTTCTCTCAGGAGTCCGCGGACTTCCTTCGAATTCCTCTTCCGATGTATGAACAGCAGACAGTAGCCACAGAGGAACAGGGAAATTGTTGCCGTAAAAGTACCGACCACTGCCCCGATGAGCTCCAGTATGGTAAACTGTTTCTAAACGAAGATAAAAGGGAATAACGGAGGGAAACATTAAGTATTTGGTAAGAGCGAAGTCTTAATAAAATGGCCGTCAAATTGTTTCATGGATAAATAAAAAACGCAGGATTTGTAAGCCGCGTTATATTCTAGGTGGGTGTGCAAGCTGGCAACTACTAGGCAATAACCTGACACCATATGCGTGGTTAACGAAACTTATTTCGAAAAGCGCAATATGGAAAAGAAGAACCGCTGCCAAAAAAGTAAGCATTTGTAATTAAGTGGTCTTGATGCGGTTTGTGGCCACTGCTCTGAAAAATAAATTTGAAATCGAATGAAACCCCCCGAAAGAGTTCAAATTATGTATCCGCTGTAGGTGGCACATTTGTCTACGACACTGCATTACGTATTCACCAGTGAGATTAAAATGTGTAGCTTGGCAATGATTCGTTGTGAACTCATACTTGACAAATTTTCCCTAGTAGAGAGAAATCACTAGACTTTCAAAATATGGCAAACCATGGTGTAAAACAGTTCCGATTTTCAGTAGGCCTACATTTATCTGTTTGATTGTTGCTTTCAGCAACGCGGACTCTAGTAGTAACATACAAGTTTATCTCCTCAACAACGGAGGTAACTGCTCTCCAGTTATTTTTCCAGCCTTACTTAAAAAAGGCCTGGTCATTTTTAAACGTATCCTCCGAATACTCACTTAAGCTGCCAGTGTTTCCTATCATTTTTAGCTGACATTATTATACACTTTAAAACAGTCAAGCAATTTGCTGATCGCATCCTTAGTGAGGTCACTCACCCTCTCTTCTCTGAACTAATGGCTATGAAGTCTTCCCGTACTATGCACCGAAGCGTCCGTCACGCATCTTGCCGTACATCGGCATATCAGCACTCTATACTTCCATTCCTAACACGCTACCACACGAAACGGAAATTGAGAAGTTTAAGTCCGACCTATCTTCATACCAGAATACTCTGAGTATTCTATAACCTTGTAGCTAACCTTATTCCTTGCTCTCGGTGAATGGAGCCATTTGTTGCTAAAAATTTTGGATATTACCTTTAAATAGAGCATATGTTTCGCTCTCTCTCTCTTGTCGGCCCTTTTTCAAGCAGACTGCGCTTCTACTCTCGGTAAATCTGACACGCAATTATATTAAAACGAAGTAAAGAATGAGTCGCAGACAGACACTGCAGACCGACAACCCTCAGACATGGTGCATATTTCCTGCATCTCTGTCTGCCTGTCTGTCTGTGTTTGTGTGTATGTGCCAGTAGATCATACATGTGCGTGTCAGCCAGAAAACCCCATGGGGACTGGGGCAAAAACACAATTAGAACTAGTTCAGTCCCGTGCCGTCGCAGCCCTGCATACGTCGGCCCACAAAAAGAGCAGGAAAAACCGCACAGTTGCCCCCACCCCCCTCAACCGTTT